GGTATACAAATGTAGGAACACGAGCACAAGCCACCCCACGCGAAAGCAAACAGGCGGTGTCCTGTTGTAAACAATGCCCCGTAGGCCTAGGGCGCAGCGTTAACAGAGCAAAGCTGTTATCAGCGGCAGCCATAAACAGTCGTGACAGTCCGAGAAATGAGGCTTTCCACACCACCACAGCGAAATATTGCACCGTGCCAACAAAAGAAACAGGGTACGTAGCGAATGTCAGGGTCATTACCAAACATTTTAAGTCATCGTCCAGCCATTGAATTGAGGAACAATACTTACTAGACTCATGAATAATGAATACACAAGAAAACATTGAATACAATAACCTAGCAAAGGTAAGAATGGAGTGCTGTTAGGAGAGTGGAAAAGATGGGTGTTCAAGGCAAAGCAATAGTACCACCAAGAACCACCAATCGTACCAGTAAGAACACTCTGATGCTGATTACCCGGAAACTGTAGGGATAAAAAACACTTACACAATACGCATATGGCTCCCGAACAGTCTATGCAAATGTTATTATTCTTAAACAATAGTTCAGCAAGAACAGCGTACATATATCAGTTCATGCTTATAATTGTTTAATCCAGAGAAGAACTTGTGCTATAGCCAAAATGAAAATCAAAATAATGAAGACAATAACGGAGACCACAATAGAAGATACAATAGTAATTCTTTTAAATTCAATTATAATATTGATAAATATTTGAAATCAAAGAATAATAATTCATGACAATAGTTATAATGGAGGTAATGATAACTGTAGTGAAGGTCAAAAGATTAGATCATCTAGCAAAGCCCAGGTATAAAGGGTGCAGCAAGGACCTGGTGCAGGGCTACAACACAGGATAGACGCTTCAAAGTAGGCAAGCACAGCTCGAGCTCACCACATAAGGCGCAGTCTGTTCCCCTACACTTCTCACTCTGGTCAAACTTGCTGTCGATTCAACGAAGGCCTGCGTTTAGCCAGCGGGTACTGCGTAAATGCAGCGATGGCTAGCCAAGAGGGAAGTAACATACCTTGCAGCCAAGCGTGCAGTGTCGGGAGACTTTACTTTGGTAAACTTTCAAGAGCTCTGATTTATACTCACGGATTTATTACAACTTGCAACATAAATAAACTTGTAAACATGTGCTAACAGCATCAAGCCTTCTAACTGAAACTTCGTGAGCCATCGTCAACTGGCCACCCGCCCCACAAAAAAATTCAACAGGAATTAACATGCAATTTTTAGCGGCACACCCTGAATATGAAATGTAATCTGACGTTAATAACTATCGTATATGAACTAAATACTTGGCATTCAAATTATTTGATGAGTAACAGGAAAAGAACTAAAAATGCTACATAATTGTCAACCGCAACCGCGGAAATAAATTACAATTACATGACAAACTAATGTAACCGGTAAAATTAAACTCACAAATAACTGAACAATACAAAGCTGAACCGCGGGAAAAGAAATAAAATCTCCAAGAAAACCAGCGTACAGCTGCCGCGTAGGCTAAATCCTGGAGCGTGAGCTCGCTATGAGAATTGTAGGTTGCATCCATGGTCTCTGGACCAGAACTCCCACAAGTATCACAATGCATGACTCACCCTACAACCATCGTGGGCGCTCCCAACGACCAAACTGCTTCGCAGAAGAGGCCCATCTTCGATGCTTTTGCGGCGAGGACGAAGAGATTTTCTCGGTAATCTTGTATCAATGAAATAAAATAAATTCTTGGCCCACGCGGAAGAGCCACAACTTGTGGCCGATACGACGAATAGGTGCGTATACGAAAGATGTGAGGAACCTACGATAGGAAAATTAAATAGTCGTTGGAGAAAATTGTCGCATCATTGAGCTGGGACGCAGCGACATCGAGTCTTTTCGAAGTGGACCAAGCGCGAGACTTAATTCGTACGTTCTTTAATGTCAATTAACTTATTCTGTACATTTTTTATAAATAAACTGTAAATTTAATAAGATGCTTTCACAGAATTTCTTTTGCGTTCCTTTTTGTTGTTGAGTTTTAATGATGAATTGGAAGTGTGTGTATGTGAAAATTATAAATGCTCTTTTACAAAGGTACTTTCAAAATCAAAATATACTATGTAATTTTTCGAAAAAATAAAAGTTTTAGATTTGAAACCGAACGACACCGAAATTAACAATATTTGTACGACAGTAATATGCGGAATGTAACTAAAAAATAAATAATCAACCTCGGTGAAAGTTATTCTAAACACCGCACGAAACTAGTACGGCTAAAAGTGCCCACCCAAAGTTTCGGCGTGGAGCCATAATCCAGGAAGGTATTCCCTGCGGCGGCTTGTGTATGAGAACAATGTCAGTCTCGTGAGACTTTTGAGCAGCGATGAGCGAGCGAAGGCCAATATCGGGGACGCTCAATATACCGTAACCAAACATGTCGACTCCAGAACAATCGGCCAAGACCACACGCATCTCAAAGCCTTATTGGACGGCGTGGGTTAAGCCGTAAAAACATTACGGACTTAGGACCTTACTTGCAAAAACTCGATTACGGAGTGCGCTGTTCGAGTCCAAACGTCGAAAATAAGACTGACGGATTATTGCGTGCATGTGTGAGACCAGACATGAGCAGTAAAAGTTTGAAGAAATTAGAAATACTCATTTTATATTTATTGTGATTGAATCGAATTTAACATATAACCATAGCGGAATTGAATGCAGACGGCAAGTGGGAGGTATAGGGCGGAGCCACTTAGAGAACAGCGGAAAACCGCAAACCATCGGAAGCAGCCCATCGATACGTCGGCCCCCACAAAGGGGTGCCGTGAACGTTGCAACGGTCTTCGGGATCGCCGTGAACGCCCACAGGGGACGTTCACGACGTATTGGTCGCCCACGAGATTGTATGTGGGGCCCAGCCTCATGCTCAGAGCACCCCCAGCAGAAATAAGGTTAACCGACAAAACTTGTTCTTACTCTCTTCGTTATAAGAGCTGAGATAGGTTAGTTTGATAGCCTCAGTTCGTCGCCAGGGTTGGTTGGAAATCGGAATTGGCGTTTGGTGAGGGACTGGCATTTAATGTTAGGTTGAACCAGGAGTCCGACGGAAATGAACGACACCGCCCGCAGATACGCAGCAAAGGCTCCCACGCAAATCAACAGGGAGAGCGTAACCTCAAGTAAGAAATATTACGCTAAAGCTACTTCACCTGCTGTTGAGTGTAACTAATTGTACACAAGGAGGGGTAAACTGAAAAAAATATATATTAACTTTTGCAACTTTTATGACAAGAAACACGCAGAAAATGATTAAACAAGAATTAAACGATTTTATGCGTCTTGCATGCGTGTAAAAGGCATAGTTATTATTGTTCTACAACACTAAGCAGTATATATGAGAGATAAGGAATGAAATATAGGCGCAAATTTGAGTGGCCAAGAAAAACATGACGGATATAGACACACTCGCGCATTCATATGGCGTGACGCCAGCGCGACAAACTGCACACCGTTTGTTGTACGTTTCAAGGACAGCACTAAGTTGGGATAATTCAATTTTCGATTACGTGGGCATAGCGAATACAAGGACAGGACCATTGTCGCGTACCATTTGCAAATGTGTTATCAGGAACCTTCATTTAAACAAACGGCTAAAACAAAGAAGAGGGCAACAAAAACCTTCAAACTTATTATCTATTTATTTAATTTACTAAATTTCTTACTATTATTATAATACTACCAGGAGATTAAACTTGTGCTAGATTTTAAAAATTGTTCGTCGTCGATTAAAGAGAATAGATTTTTTCGATGCATTTCTGAATGTTAATTTAAATTTTTTTAAATAATATTATGGCACTTGTTTAGATCGATAATCTCAAAGTTGTGAGTTAGGTGGAGTTATAAACTAATGTGCAAAAGTGTACAACTTTGTATTTATATTACGATTTATATGATGGTGAAAATATGATGAAGATCATTAGCATGCAGGAATTGTGAATAACCTAAAAACAAAGAAGCAACAAAAAAATTATTCGTTATCATATCACATAAATAAGATATCAATGCTCACACTTATGAGCCGCTGAGCCGCAGTTACTACATTAATGTTAATATAAGATTGTGAGCTAATAAAGTGCATTAGAATTGAGTGGATGGCTGAGCGACGAGGTCTTCCGGCAGGTCGTGAATTGGACTGCAGCGGTTGCGTTATTCGGGATTAAGGACTCTTGCAAATTGAGTCGCTGGCCAGTAAATCTTACGAAGCTCTTCATGTGATGCAGTCTTCGTCTGACCTTTATGTCAAGTGACGCAGTCAGTGCCTGGCCTTCCTGTCGTGCGAGACAGTTAGTATCTCAAGCTAAGAGAGGCAAGCTCAGAACAACGTTCCCTACATAACTTTAGAAAATTAACAAGGTGGACGAATCTCGTGCACCTCAATTATCTAATCGGGGCTCAGCAAAACCTATATATTAATGCTCATGCTACGGCCCGTCCAAGCAGCAACGTAATGCAGACGCAACGGTGCAGCAGCAAGCGCCTGTCACCAGATGTCATCCATTATGTACAGCTCCAATTTTAGCAAATTTAGTTTGGTTCATGCTGAAATCAGATCAGATTGCCGAGAAGTTAATTCCCTGAAAAGTTTTGAGACACCTGATTTGCAATGCTCGATCGCAGTCATTGAAAATTTTTGGACTAGCAACCAAATCTCAGATTTTCGACACTCGCGGTCACAGACAAAATGTCACTATCTTCTCTTTCTATATAGCGTCTTCTCTCGCTAGTCATCAACATATTTGAGTGTCAGCTACCTGATAACAAAAAGCATTATAATTTCTTCAAATTTGCGGCGGATTGGTCCTGTTTTTTCCATCAAATCATAAAAGAATTAACGCTTTCTTCTTTCGATGATTAACGTTAATACGCGCGATGATGTCTGGATAAATTAATGTCTCCACTCTAATGCCAATATCTTACATTTATGACGAGAACAATATGATACGACTCACCCAAACAATTACTGCAGTTACAGGTGTAGAGTTTAGGCACAAAGCCTTTCTTCTGGCGCACGCGTACGTATTCTCCGGCACCGCTCGTATCAGCGACATCTACACTGGAGAATTCTTCTGCTTTGGGCAAGGGAGGAGACGAGTTATTCAAGCAAGGAAACTTTTCAACAGCAGGGGAACTGCAGCCGGGCAGGAACTTGGAAGCAGTAAAGACAGGCGAGTAAGTCTTATTGGAGAAACCGAGGGATTGCAAGCTGCCCTCAGAAGACGAACTAGTTTTCTTGTCAGAGATGTCGTCGGTTTGCCATAGATTTTGATGGCCATAGTCAATTTCCTTCGCCATGCCGTTGTTCTGGTCGCTCCAGTAAATATTCTTACGGGCTGAAGAAGCTTTCAGTTTGTTCTGGTTTCCGTTACTGTGGTTGTGACTACGGTGCAACTGAAGATATAGGTTCTTCCTGTCGTACTTGGGCTTTTCATCATCAGGGCACGTGGGGATTGCATTAATTTGACCATTCGTAAATTGATTAATAACGCAGTTCGTATCCTTATGCAATAATCCTCCGTACGGGGTCATGCCCAAGGGTACTTGAGCAGATGTATGAGTCTGGCACAATTTACAAGAGCCGCAACAACAATGACCTTCACTGTTGAGTGAAGAGAATGACTCGATAAGTTCAGCCTCAGGCACATATCTCAATGCATGCTTATTTCTTTGTCTACGCACCAAAGGCGTCAAATAAACATTCAAATCAATTTTCAGCTTGGCTTCCAGTTCTCTTAGTTCCTGGTCCGGCGTTTTCATGCCGGCGACATCAGGTACAATGAACTTCTCCTCAAGACAACCCGGTAGTGGTTGAAGTTTCTCCTGCCGCAACGCAGCTTGTAGTTCCGCGCACTCACGTTCAGCGGCTTCACGCTGTTCACGTAACTTCCGCTGAAGAACCTCAAGGCGGAGCTGAACATCGTTCAGCGGCTTCAATGCCTCATTTCTCAGTGGCTCGAGCTGAGCTGGAATTATGCTGTCTTGACGCAGGCTAGACGCAGCGGGACGTCCGTCCAGATGTCGGACAAGTTCTGGTTTTTCAACGCATTGCAACGAGGTCACCTCCTTCAAAAAGCTTGCCTTGGGGTCCCAACGTTGCTCCAAATTCTGTTGACAGTCATCGCTGCAGGTAGCGGGTAATTTGGTCGCAGTAGATATTCTTTCCCCAACACAATCGTCGAGAGGTTGTTGGACTAGGTTTCTATCTGCTAGACAAAAATCGCACGTAGAAGTCATATTCTCGACAGTTTTCCCGGTGTCTTTTGGAATCATTGGACTCGAATTGGGAGGGGGATTTGGAATGGAATTTAGGACAAGAGAAGCCGCAGAACTGAACACCTGTTGCTCGAACTGAGGCCTTGGTCCAGGTAGCGCACAAGTTAGGTTGCCATCTACGGAACTCAATTCTGAAGTTTCAGAAGAAGGACTGGAGATTGGCAGTGACACCTCCTCGTCCTGTTGTTGCTCGCGCTGTTGTTGCTGCAACAGAGTTTCGCTGTCTGAACTACCGGCTTCTGTCTCTTGCCTGTGTATCTCCAGCAAAGGAGACACGAGAGGCCCGGCGAGATATGAATTCTCGAGACGCATCATGACAAAAATAAATTTGGATTACCCAAACTCAAGATCAGTGTAATGAATAGATTAACATTTCACACCTGGTAAAGTTCAACAACTCACTAAATAAACTGAATTGTTTTACACACACTGTGAAACACGGACAAGCAAACATACAATCATTTGCATATTTTGCAATACATGTATGTATTTGCCATATTATATGGGAATCCGGTTTTACTCATTGATTAAAGTATTAAACAATAACAATGTGTGCGACGCACTTTTCACAAGTATTGGTTCACATATAGCAAAAACATAGCAACTTTGACAAGTCAATGACTTGATCTTTCGAACCTTGCTTTGGTAATCAAATTACCTGTCAAGTTCAAGCACGTCCAACACCGAATGTTGTTTGGAGATATTTCTGTGACAACAAACGCCCACTAACTTCAGCGGGCGCATAATATGCGTCAAATCTTAAACAAAACGCCTCACAATACAAAATACTGTGAAAGGGTACTTGTTAAGAAAGTACCTTCAAACAAACTGAATTGTGAAAAATAATGGTGCTATGAATGTCAACGAAACAGGAGACTCAGGTTGGTCCACTCCCACATCCAGACCGCTGAACACAACACACCATACACTCTCAAAGTTAGCGAGGTACTGAGGCCAGAATGTCTAGCGAGGCAATGCCGAGAGGCCCGAGTCAGCCAGATGTGCTGGCCCTGTGTAAAATGCTTTTATTTTATTATTTGAACTAATATTACAGAAATTTCAAGCCATCAAACAGGTTTATTTTCAAGGCAATGAAGTGATATTATCTTGAATAAACTAATATAGAAGAATGTGACTTGTGAAAAGTTCAAATTTTGTGCGGATCGTACGTCATAAACCCGTTGGGAACTTGGGGGACACTCAGGCTAGCCTCGACCTTGGCTGTTGTCGTACACAAAAATATACGCAGAGATGATGATGATGAGGATAAGGGGATCGTACAGAGAGAAGTCCGATGCACTATTTTGATGTTAATGCTAATAACGAGTTACAAGCGTTTCCTTATTTCGTTAAAATATTGCAAAAACCAAACACCTAACTGCTTGCGTAAGTTGAAGGGTGGGTATATGCTAGATGGAATTGTGTTCCAACAATTTAAGGTAGGATGAAAATTATTTATAAATATCGCGTAATTTATAGTCATAATTGATATAAGTCAAGTACTTACTTATTATTGGCATATATACGGGTAAATATAATCAATGAATGTAGATAAAGAAACATTTTTGAAAACTACATGATAAAGATTATTGTTGCATTAGATATTGAATAGTAACAGTATATGCTAGTTAACAGCTGGAATAGAAATAGGATAAAAAATAAATGCATTCCTCTCTCAATGACCATGAGTTTAAAGAACGGGATTCCGTCGCTCTTAATGAAGTCACAAAAATTTTAAATTCTGGTAACAATAACATGTCTTAGATCATCATGTTGTTTGACGCTTTCTCTGGTATAAGAGATATACCATTAATTTCTTTTATATAATCTAATTTTATCTATAAAAAATTCAGTAGAAATTATTTCACAGCTGACGCGTAAAAATAGGACACTGGTTTTCAATATCTATTCAATATTTCTTCCAACAATTTAAAACAATCTTCGCGCATCTACATTCGATTAAAGGTTCCAGGAATATATCATTAAATTCTGATGACTTCAGTTCGATCATAGTTCTGATAGTAGGAAGTAAAATCAACAAAAATTCAATTATTGCCGAACCGATACAATCTTGCCACCGATATACCGCCATTATTAAGCTGAGGAAAAATAACCCCAAATGCAGAGTAATAATTTCGTCGTAAATCAGGTTGTCCTGAAGGAAAATAGCACAGGGAAGCGCCAGACAGCAACACGATGGTGGTAGCGCGGCTCTAAACTGTGCAGACGGATACATAAAAATGTTTGCTATAGATACGACGTAAATTCGTCGTCATTCAATCAATATTCAAGCTTTGAACGAATCACGTCAGTCACTGACGTCAATCCTGAATGTTGGGCGATGCTGCAATATTCGATCGTTCAATTATTCATTCTAGTTGACGTAGGGTCGTAGACCTAAGACGACTTGCGCTCAACTTAGAATAGATGATCACTGTAAACTGATCATCACACCGTCATTTAGGATCGTTTAGGACCAGCGGATTCACCGTTTAACTTACGTACGGTCACTCCAATAATAATTGTTAAGAATGCACCGCGTATTGATTTGGGCTGGCAGTAGAGAGAGCGGTGGCTACAGGAAACGGAGTCGCGTAGAGGAAGACGAGAACACATAATTTACGCAGACCTGCAGTTGTTACGCGGCCGTTCCGTCCGGTGGTGACGCTGCTCTCACACGCAAGGTCTGTCGTGTGTAGTGAAGAGCGTTCTATTCAACTAATATAAAATGTGCACTGCGCAAAGCAGTGTATATTATTATTATTAATATTATTATTATTATTATCATAAATATTATTATTATACTACAAAGCATTTATAATGGCGTCTGGTTTAAACGAAATTCGAAGCCACGTTACACACAAGTTCAATAGCACGCAAAAAGTAAATAGACACGAGAAAGTATGAGAACGGATAAAAATGACTAAGCACTTGATTCATAGGCTCCAAGAAATAGTTTCGCCTTTAAACCTCGATGAAACTCCGGCAACCAAGGAGCCGATGTTATGAAGCCAGCAGACTGTTCCTGGTTCTGGCAGCGGCGACCGGGAACGCTCTGTCGCCGACGGTAGATAGACGTGTAGATGGAACGACGAGGTCCGCTGTTGATGACGAACGCAGTCGTCTTCTAGAAAGCAGATCCGATACGCGCTGCAGACATCCCGTGAGATGAGGAGGCGTCAAATCGTGATGGCATCGGAACGTCAGAGTAGCGACCTTGAACTGCGTGCGCTGCTGCATGCGCAGCCAGTGAATATCTTGCAATATCGGCGTAATGTGGCCGAATGATACGTCAAGTGGACGCAATAAAGTGGCGTGGTCAAACGCGTCCGCGACAGGCCGAGTAAAGCCAGTGCTGCAATATCGCCGCTATCTACCGCTCGCAGAATGTCTGAAAGCATCTTCAACACATCGGTTTCCGTCGAGTGGAGATGACGGTATGCGCGCCGCAGACTGGAGGCGAGGCATGAGATTTCATAAATAATATAAAGATTTCGTTTCAGCTGTTAGGCCACAATGCGTTCTAGGAGTTTCGACAAAATCGACAGGTTGGAGATGGGTCTATATGATTTGGGATTAGAAGCGTCACAGTTTGGGTTTTTAACAGAGGCGCAATTTAAGCTGATTTGAAGTTTATCTGAACAACTCCGTCAGTGAGGCAGCGGTTGAAAACCAGAAAAGATGCTAGGGTTATGACATTCCCCTTAAGTAACGACGTCGGCAGCGGATCGCTGGCACACTGCTTGTTAGGCAGCGCGCACTGCAGCGCTGGCATCGTCAGCTGTGACGCAGGTGAATTCTTAGAGCACGCAGTCGAACAGGCACGGCGCAAATGCTGCCGACGATCGCACAGCAGAAATTTTGTTTTCAACAACCGCATGGAATTCCTCCACGCTTACGTCACCCGAAGCATATGTATTCATTTATAGAGAACATGAAGTGACCAAAAACAGGTAAAAAACACAATAACATTTAACATTGAGCGTTTGAACTCACGTCGTCTAAAATAATCCCAAGATATTAACATTAGTTACATTGGCCTACTTGTTTCTAGGATACGCGCCTGGATATTACGCAGAAATAAATTAATTCAGGAGAATTCCCGGCATCTCACATAAATTAACTGCGAAAAATCATGGTATAAAGAATTGATGTCAATTGAAAAGAAGTTACTGTTTTTCGTAAATAAGTTAGACTCGGGTAAAGGAACTGGTTATATCTTGCATTGAAGTGAAGATAATCGTAGCTCGCCCCTGAGAATTACGGTCATAAGCGCAAGTGAACCCCAATGCAGAGTCCATGAACCATCAACTGACTGGTCATAATATGGAAAGAAGGAATCCGTAGTTATAGCAGTAGAGTTTGATGGGCCCCATAGAGTGGGGAGTATCGACCACCATAGGACGGCGAGAATACCATGAAGACACTTTCGTAGTAGCCCCGTCATTGACACACCATCTGCATGGATGGTCTGTTTTCGGCGTGTTCGATGGACACGGGGGTTTTGAAGTAGCGCAGATCGTGTCGAAGTTCCTGCCGTAAACCCTTAAGCGCCTTTTATTGAATATAAATCCGCAACAAATGAACGATCGGGTGATTGTTTAGACCCTAAAACTATGCTTCATTAAACTGGATCAGCAGCTTCGGGACATGAGAGTAGGACACAGCTGTGGTACAACAGCCATCGTGGTTCTGGCTTCACCTACAACGCTGTACGTCGCTAATTGTGGTGATTCGCGAGCGATGGTAGTTCTCACCGATGGTAGAATAGAACACACCAGAGACCACAAGCCCAGCCATCCGACAGAAAAGTAGCGCATCCTGGCAGCGGGATCCTCAGTCATGCATGGAAGAGTCGGAGGGAACCTAGCCGTTTCCAGGGCTCTAGGAGATTTCTAGTACAAGAACGTAAATTATATTTCGCCGTAAATGTAGGCAGTGTCACCGAGTCCTGAGGTATACATATGGCCCCGACACGTTATAAGGGCGGCCGTGTTGGCTTCTGACGGGGTTTGGGATGCCCTTAGCTCACGAGAAGCTGTTGATTGCTTGGTTGGAACACCGCTGAGAGAGGCTTTGAGTTGGTCCTACGCGCTTGTGGCTTGGAGTCACGACAACGGAGGAAATGATAACGCTACGGCACTTGTGTTGAACCCTCTTGGACCTTAGTACTACTACAAACAGGTTCCATGTGACCCTTACAAGTACCGTCGTGAGGCCAGTCACGTTCAATATCCCACATTATTTGCCGAAAATTATCAACTGTACACGAGAGGAGGGCAGTCAATTGTTCCAAGCGCCTATAAGATAAACGTGAAGTACCGGCCTCACCCGGTGGCCCAGCCTATAACCATCGAGTGCCAACATGGTGTTGTTTTGTCTTACTTGTGAGATCAACAGGAAGCTTTGAAGAGAATTTTGTACATTAAAGGTTTTGAAGTTAAAAGTTGAAAGTTCATGTACGATGGCCTTCCAGCAAGAGGAAAATATGCAGTGTAACTCATCTACGTCTGCTTGATGATAGGAGCTGTGGACACAACACTCGACTTTAGTGATTGTTCTGATTAAAAATATATAATTTTAATGCTATCAGACTTATTTATTGTTACTGTGATTAAAAATCCTATTTCTTACTACACTTTTGCGAACCAGAAAGAATAGACATGAATTATATCTTAGGTATTGGTGATAGTCCAGCTCTTTTGTCTACGGCTCTTATGTTGCAACGTCGTCGCTATGCTCGTACACTCGTTACCGATCCTAGAAAACTAAATTAAATTTGCAATCAAAACTAGAATGTAGGTTTTCTATGATTAGATACGTAGGAAAATTTATCAACAATCATACTTATGCATGTATTCAGCTGCACATTTTACAAGAGGGCATTTTCCGCGCATCCGTGCTCAAGTTATTTTACCTGTTTGTAGAAAC